AGATGAAATCCAGCAACTGATGAATGTGATGATTAAGAGATCAGCAAAATATTTGATAAAAATGGGTAGCGGATGGTTTTTGGAAGAAACAACCTTTTCCTTTCCATTTGGTTGATACTTAAAAAAAAAGAAAAGAAACAGGGAAACAGGCTGATTTTATTACCTGATGCTGGGTTAATAGCTCTTTGTGTCACATGTAGGTCCTGTTCCCATTTACTGAACAAATCCTACCTCTAGATCTCATTCGTAATGCCTGTGCAGAGAGGAAAGATAGTTAGATCAGGTACTGAGGGCCAGGCATCTCAGGCTTGGATCCAGCAAAGCGCTTGGGAGTATTCGTGCTGTGAGTGGCCTCCATGTAACCTGGCGTCTCCCTTACACTGCCACTGCAGCGTGCCGTTGCTTAAACATGTGCACATGTTGACATGCTCCGCAGGGTCAGCGTACCAGCTTGCTCTTCTGGAGCTGAAATGTCTTGATGTGAGCCATGTGATGATCCTGTCTGATTTTCTTGTTCAGCCTACCCATGTTTGCAGTGCCTCCTACGGGATCGTGCCTTGGTGTACTGAATTCCATTTCCACTCATGTCGCCCTTTGAGCTCTGTGGATGAGCTACACTGTTCAGATTACTTCTCACAAGTGTTGGGTTGTGCCTTTCCTTCAGGTGAAAGCTCTTCAACAATCTGAAAAGAACTAAAGATTTACTGGGCTCCTGCAAAGCCAGGCCTGTTGCTACTCACGCCATGGGTTTGTGCAGCCTCTTGCCTTCCTCTCTGAAAATCAAGCCGTGCCAGAGGCAAGGCTAACGTGTTCCTCCCCTTGTCATAAGACTGGAGTTGCCCAGGCAGCTGAGAGTTTATCCAGAGCCAATTAAGGGGAAAAAAGCAACAAAACAAGTTGCAAATGGTTCTTTAAGGCTCCACAGAAGCCTCAAACGAATGACTTGTGACAGCAAACAGGCTGGAGGTACGGAGATTATAGATGGCGATGCACATGGCTGTTCATCTGCATCCTGATTAGGACACTGATTTAAGGGGTCTGGTTCAGGGCTTCTTGGCTGCGGGGGCTGATTTGAATTTTGTTGTGCTGAGGTTGAGAAGAACTAGAATGTGCCTGATCTGAGGGGGGAAAAGCAGGGAGGAGAGTGGAAATGCCCTGCCTGTCTCCCACCCCCATCACGTTGCAGGAACGGCAATTTGTTGCTCGCCACTGCCACAATGGGGACACTGTGGGATGGGGAGCCTGAAAGTGTTAGAAGAGAAGAGATGTGGTTCCCATTCCTCTCCGTGTTGGGAGTTGGTAAATGTGAGATTTGTTTGGAAGGTGCAACCGGTTTTGAAGGGAACAAACAGCCAGAAAATGCATGCATGGAAGGATTTTTTTTCCCAAAGCTATAGGATTTGTCACAGCCTTGCCCCACGTCTGGGGATGTTCTAATTTAGTGCTAAGGTTTGAAGAAAGATTCAGGTAGGAAGCTTCCTTTTCCTGTGCTGAATTGAACCCCCATCCCTTTCCATCACCACAAATGAACCAGTGAATTCGCAGCGCTTTTGTTTTCCTTCCCAATCTGTAGTTTGACCTAGGTAAGTAGTGCTCTAAAAAGGACATAACCTCCGGGTGGTCATGACCCCCTGAAATGCCCACTGATGATCAGGGTCTCTTTATGGTCCATCGGCATCTCACAGCCCCTGGAGCGGAGCTGGCAGGAGGTGCTGCTCGGGAGGCTGACTCCAAACCACAGATGGCCAAGGGGTGGACTCCTGGCTGGGTGTTTCACCAGAACCTGCTGATTTCCTTGGCCCTGCTGGCTGATGGGCACCTTGCGTCTCTTTGGCACTTGAGCAACGTCTGCTCCAATCTGCATGTTCAAAGACCTCAAGGATCCCCACCTTTCCCAAAAGCGTGTCGGATGCAAGCTAGCCTTTTCCTGTTCCCAGGAGGGAACAACTTCTTAGCTGGCTTTGAACTTGAAGGCTCTCCGCTCCTGTTGCAACGCATGTGTAGCACCTGCTGTTGGCCGGGTTGGGTTTATGCCCTACCTGCCTTCCTCGTTCGGAGGTCTGCGCCTCCACGAACCTTCGGTTCATTTTGGGTCTATCTGGAGTAGGGAAAGTCTGGGCAGCTGGACTCGTGCCAAAGCAGTTCATCAATCCGTAATGTTTTCAAGAAAGTTTTATTTTGCCGCTGTGTCTACTAAAGAGTCGAAGGCTGCCCTGGCAGCGGATCAAAACCTGTGTTATTTGGTACTCCACTGACTTCATAAGGGTTTGCAGCATGGACTCAATTAAGTCTGAAAAATCAGGAAGGTGTGTCTCTCTGGCCTTTACATTAAATCCATACCGGGTCTCAAGCATTCTGGAGTTGAACACATGCCATGTTTTGAAGCCAGTCTATTTGAAGGCCCACGAAGAGAAGTGCTGCGCTCCATGCCATACATCTCCTGGAAACAGCCTTCTGCTGCTGTACAAGACGCTAGTAAGTATTTCCACTAATAGAGCACATAAAGGTGAATCCTAAAAGCAAGGGCAAAGAATCGCAGCGTGCTGTTATTTATCATTGAGTAACATTGCACAACTCTCCGTCTTCATTTCACTGGAACGCTGACTGGGTGTTGAAAGACATAATAAAAACAATCAGTATATTCTCATTTTTCTGTGTGAAAAGATGAAGTCATGGCATATGGTCAGCTCACCAGTGCTGTTAATAATAAACCACAGATAATTAAGCACTGATTTATTCCTCTACGTAAGTGAAACAAATTGCTTTAACGGCTTTTGCTGAGGACCATCTAGTCAGATGGATTATGTATAGGAAGTTCAAACTAAAAATTATTAGAGATCATATTTCAGCGTGCTGGAGGTTTATGGTAGAAACAATTAGAAACCTAACAGAATGTGTCCTGTATTCTCTTTGATGGAAAATCAGATATTAATCTGGGGAAAAGTCTAATTCTCAACACAGCTGCTCCCCTAGCTCTAATGCTGCGGCTTTAGGCTGGGAAAAAAAATGGAAACATGTTTAAAAAATTGATCATAGCTTATAATAGCAATAATCACCTTGAAATTGGTTGTTACTACAGTTAATGAACAGAGTATTAGAGCATAAAACGCCCTCGGATTCCCTCAGGCTATTAGCTAACGAGCTGGTTGCTCACTGCTGGTCAGATAGTATCTTTATTCGGTGGCTGGCTGTCAAAGGCTTGGAGCACGTCCTAAGCAAGGTGCTTACAGAGTTGCAGTGGCAGGAACCTCAGGCTGATCTTCCTATAGCTGTCCTCCAGCTCCTCTGGAGCATCGTTACCCCTGCAGGTGAAAGCCTTTTCCCCAAAATGAAGCGGAGCAGCCTGTGGTGGGGCACTGGGGGGCACAAGCAGTGCTGTGGTCATCCCAGCACAGGGGTTTGGCTTGGCTGGCTGGGACTGGGAGAAGTCTTCTCTTTCTAGAAATGCTTCCTGGCACGTCCTGCTTGTTGGCACCAGCAGTGCATTGTGGCAGCAGCAAGGATGGCACCAAATAGAAAGCCTCAGGTAGGATGCAGAAAGAGAGTGGCTTCCAGGCTTTGCACCTAAACACGTGCAGCAATAGGTGCGGTCCATCCACAAGAGCAAGCTTTGTAGAGCTTTTCACTGCCTCTGTGGCTGGATTTTTGCTTCGTGTGTTTTGCCTTCATCGTTCATGCGTCTCGTGTTCAAGCTGAACAGATCACCAGGTCATGACACAAACCTTCGCAAATTGTCTCCTGTCTTTGAGTAAGAACATTTGCAGAATGATGTGGTTGCAAACAAAGCTTGGAATAATTTGGTTTATCATACTTAGCTTGGTGTAATCTATATTTCTTTTTGCATTGCTCACAGTTACTGACAAAATCCCTTCCAATGCAGAGATGCTTCGGTTTGGATGCTCATTGCTAACTGAGCTGTAAAGTAGTCAGCTAATAAAATGATATCACAGGAGTTGCCTCCACTCACCTAAGGATTCAGTGTTTGCTGGGGCTTTCTGGTCTTTGTAAATTTATAGTTTACTAGTCAAAGCTTTGGTGTCTTTGGAAAACTTCATGTCAGAGAGCATTTATGACTAACCTGGTGTCTTGATCCCAGGAGTCTGAAGTAATAGGAGCAAATTTCACTCTTGCACGTGGCTATATTTAGGTATTTTTTCAGCACTGTTGGGGCCCTTGTTCCCAGAGAAATAGCTCTTAACCAGAACGAGTTGAAATTTGTGACAGCAAATTTTTTCCCGTGACATGTGATGTGTCCTCGACATTAAAAACACATATGGAAAAAAGTGGGTGACTTTGATTAAATTTCTGAGTATTCGATGGGAAAGGTTAAAACAAAACATTTTTTCTTGACTAATACCTGGCTTATAGCACTAGAGAGATTTCTTGTGCAGACCACCACAAGCTTTTTATGGGGCTTAAAAGCAGTTTATATCATGCTGCAACTTCAAATATAATTATGCTAGCTCAGAAAATGCTTTGCAGACATAAAACTCCATGCGTCAGCCCATAGTTTCTGATGTCTTAGGTGCAAGAAAGACTGGCTGCTTCGACAAGGTATTTCTAGCCCTTGCTCCGAAAGTCGGCTCGTTTCCAGTTTGCAAATACTCTGCGGTCTGTTGCGACCTTTTAAACTTTTCTAATCAAATTGTAGAGAGGCACCTTGCTGAATATAATCTCTGCAGAGTGGAAGACTTAAAATAGCATGTTTTTTTTTTTTTTCTTTCATTTTTTTTTCCCTCCAATTTCTGGCATGAGATAACTTAATTTTCCACGATAGCATCAAGCACTCTTTTCTCCGCCATCCTGGGCCATATTCTCCTGTAGGGTCTGCAGGATCTGGAGCAGTGGGGCAGGCCCCATGGCTGGGAGGAGCTGTGGGGTCACTCCACGTGGTGCTTGGCTGGGGGAAAGCTGTGGGGCTCATCCCCATGGCACTCAGCTGGAGCTGCTGCCAGTGAGATGGGACACAGCAGTGAGGCAGGGCCAGGAGAGATGCACTCAGTCCATCCCTAGCAGGGCGAAGTGGTTACGAGTCACAAGTGAGGCCCATCAGGGCAATTAAGGCCCCTTAGTGCCCTCAGGAGGCTCGTGCTGTGCTGGAGTTTTAATTTGGCCTGGCTCTCTTCCTTGGGGAAGTTCCATCTCTATTTAAAAACAGGAGATTCCCTTTACTAAAGGGAGAGAAGGGTGTGCTGAGGGTAGGTGTGTAGAGGGGCCTGCTGTATAGATCATAAAGGTCCTATATAGACCTAAAAGTCCTTCTCTGTGATCTGCTTAAATTTTGATGTTATACTATTGTCATTAATAATATTGTTTGAGGACAGTGAGAGTAATGTTGCTACCTTTCTGTGTTTTATTATGATGCAGATGGAGGAGAAGCAAGAGATGGGCTGAAATCTCCCTGTGTGAAAGTGAGGCTGTGACCCCAACCTGGTGCCTCCTGTCTACTTGCCCTGGGCTGCAAAAAGAAGAATCATCCCTGGTGAGTCTGGGTCATCTTTATGCCCTGCTTTCATTTCTTCATTGGAAATGTCAAGTGAAATGGTGTGGGTTTTTTGGAAGTCTGGTTTTCTTGGCTCAGTGAGATAAAAGTTAAATCCATTCAAATTCAATTCAGCCTGAACTGAAGGGTTTTTCTTTTTTTACTTTACTTTTCATTCAGTTGCCAAATTGAAAATAAATGATTCACGCAGCACTACCTGACAGCTTGTTGGAGAAATAGTCTTCTGAAAAATGCAAAAGTGTGTTTTGTAAAAGATCTGTGGTTTGCTCTGTGGAAGACAAAACACTTCATCCAGAATTGAATGAAAACTCTGGGAGGATGGCAGTAATTTTAATAGGTTTTATCCCAAATCCTGTAACATTTTCTCTGTAGGTGTAGCTACTCATACTACCTAATTAGCTCACTGTGCTGATCTAAATGCCCAGACTCAAATGCTGTTGAAAGTATAATGACGTTGTTAAAATGTAAACAGGTTTTTCTGTTTCTGTATTATAGATTACCTGAAACTTCAGCTAAATAGGTCATTCAGTTTCTGCTGTGCTGTGCTTGGGGTGATGCAGTTTGCTGTAATAGGAAATGAAGTGTGTTCTACTTAATCACAGCTCAGTTGTGGGGACAGATCAAGTCTTGTTTGTTTAAAACCATGGTTATTAGTGAACAAAACTATTGTAATTAAAACTTCTCAAGAGAACTGGGTCTGACAGTTGAAGTGCAGGGGGAAAAAATCTGCCTTCTGACTTAAGGTAAGTTTAGCAAATGTTCTGAAACCAAAGTGGAAGCCTGTTCAGGCCAACTTATCTTTCTGATTATCATATTTTGATGCAGAGAACAAAACCAGGGTATGAAGCATCACAGAGAAAGTCACATATTAAAACCAAAAACCTTTAAGGGCTGAATTTACTTCCATTTATAATTTTGAGTGAGAATTCCCTTTACAAATAGCCTGATTACTTCAGTAACTTTGTAACCAAAGGATGCTTCAGTGTAAGCAGGGCTGGTTGATCTTGCCTCCAAATAAACTTGGTTTTGGTTTAGCAACCCTGTCTCTTACTGTAAGTACTGCAGAGAGTTTTTTCTGGTGGTGTTGGAAACTCAAGAAACACCTTTGTTTCTCCAGACTTCTAATATAATGCTAAGAAAACTGCTGCAATGTAACAGTTGTTACATCTTCTCATCCCCTCAAATATAATGAGCTGGCATTTTACTACTTTGCTGTTTCCTCTGCTAACTGTCTGCATGGAGATATTTTCTTGAAAGGTTCCTGAAACCTGGAGGGCGAGGGGGAACAATTCAAATCCTGAGAAACTGAATTTACTGTTGTTTTGGCACCATAATGGTGTGTCTCTTAGTCACTTTATTAAGGAAGCAGCTTTCTGGGAAGAACTGGTAGCACAAGAAATGACATCACAGGTCAGAAAGGAAATCCAGGAATTGGAATGGAGAAACTGCAGGGGCCTCAGTTGGAGGTAAGGAGATAAGAAAGTTGGGAGAAGTTTGAGCCTCTCTAAGCTATGCAGAATAGAACTGAAAGAGACAAAAAGGAGGTCAATACAAATGTTATTTTATAAACGTTTTTCCCTGCGAAGTTTAAAACCCTGCCTCAATTCTGTGTGGCATGCATCTTAGTTGGAGTGGGTGAATGGTAGGCTGGAAAATCTTCAAGTTTTTGATGAGAGGCTCATGGTGAGATGTAGAGCTCAGGTTGCAAAATAAGAGCGAGGCTTTGAAAAGGTAGCCTGTTGAAATTCATGTAAAAGTCTATTCTTTAAGCTCACTTCAGGAAACCAGAGGTGTCAAACAGTTGTTGGTTCTTTGTTTGACCTTCGTTGCAATAGTTCTGTGTTCTGGCTTAGACAAAAGCCTAATTCCCCCATCGGCTCTGTTTTGGGAAAATGAGAAATTGAATGAAATCCCGGTGTTGAGTCTTATTACAGTTTTGCTGTTTCAAGAACCCTGATGTTAGCAATGCTTTTTTCAAACTGCTCTGTGAGTATTTTTCTTCCCCAATCACTTTCTTCTTTTTCTTGGGTCTGTTTCCAGCTGAGTTTCATTGTGTTTTCACTGGAGTTTTTGGCTGAGTACCACTCCTACTTACCCAGTCCTTACAGTAGCAAAGATCGGTTAACTCCTGCTTTGTGCTTTGTCCTCTGTACAGTATGTGGCTCATACGTAAATCCTCTCAAGAGACCTACCTGTGTGAGTCTGTACCAAGTGGCTTCGTGATTCTGTACACACTATTGAGTGGCTGTAGCTGATAGTAGCAAAGGCAAACCAGTGGGGTGCGTTGATGGAAGTACAGGCTTTATTAAAACTAGCTGCTTCAGAGAAACTGCAGGTTCATGTTAAACTCTTACAGTGACTGTTCTCCTTGGAACACTCCATTTCTTCCTGTAGTGGGGTTTAGATCTGTACTTTAATTTAAATTTCTGCCAATAAATAGTTTATAAAAATAATTGAAGTGCTACAGGTATAAACAGCCTGGCCTGCGGCATAAACTCTACGCAGATCTGAGAATGAAGTAACCATCTACACAGACATACCTCACATCTGTGTTTTAGACTGACTCACCTCTCTGCCTTACCTTCCGTGCCTCTTCACCAAACGGACATGTGGCCATACTGGCCATAATGGATAAATTGCTCCTGGTGGACAACAGACATGGCAAACAGCTTTTTTTTTCTTTTTACTTCCATTATAGCTGAGTCTCTCTTGATAATACAACTGAGCTTAACTAGATCTGAACTTTCTCACCCAAGTCATGTCCAGTAGAGCAATGTAACATCTACTGTTAAAATCATGCCTGACTCAGGCATGTTGCATGCATTATAGTGGTTCAATGCCTTTACTGAGACGGCCTGATTGGGGTCATTAGGAGAAAACAACATACTCATTGGATCTGCTCACTTATGCATGGTGTTGACAGCCCTTATGGAACTACTCCATGGATTTGGATGAGGCAAGTCGCAAACAATCACAGAGTCACCCAGGTTGGAAGAGTCCAACCTCTGACCTAACACTAACCAGTCCTCCACTAAACAATATCACTGAGCTCTACATCTAAATGTTTCTTAAAGACCTTCAGGGATGGTAACTCAACCACTTCCCTGGGCAGCCTATTCCAATGCCTCACAACCCTTTCAGTAAAGAAGTTCTTCCTCCCCTGCACCTCCCCTGGTGCAACTTTAGCCCATTCTCTCCCTCCTCCCCCCAACCCTCCCCCCTCCCCCCCCCCAAAAAAAAAAAAAAAAAAAAGGCAGTCACACAACCCCTGAGAACTGACAAGAGCTGTTTATTGCCTGGACATCTCACAGGCAAGCCTGTGGTGTCCGTGGTGTTGGGTGGCTCCAAGCTGATGCTTGTGATGGAGCCTGAGCAACGAGTAGGGGGCTCTCCGAGCACTCCTGCGATGCCGCTGGTGCTCTTGGATGGCAGAGCATGAAGATGTGCTACAGTCGTCCCAGGTATGTTCTGGCTGAGGTGGATCCATTTCCATCTGTTCTTCCATATCTGGTGGATCCAGCTCCATAGTGTCAGGCAGAAGGCTTAGCCTTATCTACCTTGGTCCACACATTCCATGTGATGTTTTCCAGCTCAGGCTCTAGCCTCTGATCAGTGTAACATGGAATCATTAAGGCTGGAAAAGACCTTCAATATCTGGTCCAACCATCACCCTGCTACCAGTGTCACCCACCAAAGCCATGTCCTTACACACCATGTCCAACCTTGCCTTGAACACCCCCAGGAACGGTGACACCGCCACCTCCCTGGGACAGGAGGGTACCAGCTGCTCGGGGATAGGCTGGCCATCTGCCTCTCTCTTCATTTTCTACATGACAGCCACAGGCTCACCAATTCTGCTCTGGCAGTTCTTCAGTCTTCCTTCTAAATGGGTTCTGCTGTGCCATGTTCACATTTGTGTCTACCTTAGGAACCCCCAAATCATTGCGAGGCAGACCCTGTATCAGTCCGTTACACCAGCAAGTATGCTTTTCATCTTTGTTCTCCCCTGTAGATCTGGTGACTTTATCTCCTCTTACTTTATGACTGTCAGGCTCTTTTCCTTGTTAATAAGTTTGCACTGTTACCTACTGGAGGGACTCCCGTGTCATTCAGGCTTGGAAAAATGTTCGCCCTCGATTTTGGCCTGTAGCTGTGGTGCTGGAAATGAAAAGGATACACGTGATGCTGTTGGTAGTACAGGAACGAGAAAATGGCAATGGTCTGTAATAGTTGTTCCTTCTCAGGAGCAGGACTCACCATTTCAGTGGAATTTAGTAAGTTGCAAACATTGCCTTAATTAGAGTCAGTAGGAGTTAAAGATTTGAAGGAGACAGCCTCTAACTTTATAAGAGGCCTGAAGCACCTAATTAATATTCTTTGAAGAATCAACATTAATGTCTCAATTTGTCTTTTAGCCGAGCATAATATAGTTTAAAATGGTAAACGTTCTGTGCACCTCAACATTTCTTTAATTGAGGAACTTTTGCACCCTGCTTGGTCCAGGACAGGACCACAAATGCTGGTGCAGCTCTTGTGCTCGGTGTAATTATGCATTTGACCAACAAGTGGGGAAGTTCTGCTACTCCCTCAGACAGTAATTGTCTTCAATCTCCGTGTTTTGAAGACTTAACTAATGATCCCTAAGATGGACTTCTCCCCAACCTCGTTAACTAATTAAACGATTGAAAATAAAGAGTTATTCAGGCTGCAGAATATTGCTGAGAGGGCCTTTAGTGCAAGCATGAGCATTTCTGCAGAATCCATAACCATTAGAAAACAGAAGCACGATGCCCCAGACAGCCCTGGCTTTATCCCTTCAGCACGCTCTGCTGCTACACGTTAGCAGGTTTTACAGAGCGCCTCTCCCCACTGGATGGGTCCCTGTGCCCCTGGGATGTCACACGTTGCTGCTTGCGGCTCTTCTTTTCTCTGGGTCAGGTTCTGCAGCGAGAGCTGTGGCAGAAGAGGCAGGAGTGTCG